TAAACTATATAAAAAGATCTATTTCCTTATTTGGGATGGATGTGAAAATCGTGTAACTATGGACGGTCTCTCTTGTAAGTTATGGCGAAAAAAAGTGACGGAACATGTGATTTTTAAGGGGTAAACCAATCAAATCGCAAGATCAATGTGTAATGGAAAAAATTCAAAACAAACGTTTATTTTTGTTATATCTCAAATTTTTGTCTATGAAATCCCTTTTTGTTCTAACAAAAAATGTTTCTTGCAAAAATTTTGCTTTATAATGTTTATAGTGGTACTTTATAATATAATCCTAACTACATTTCTAATCCTAATCTTAATTATAATTAACAACTATCATCGTTACGCCATGGCTAGGGTACTAGTGACCTGCTGATTGTTACTAACTCGTGGCATACGCATTTTCTTTGTGAAAAGTTTTTTTTCGTCGCGCATTGCATCGCTCCAGTTCACACGCCCTAAATCTACTGTTCCCATACCTAAATGAGGCAGAGATAGGTGGGCGAGAACATTTTAAAAGGCCAGTATATCTACGTTACGCTTATTCGTCGTTATTCGCTTCTATCTCCACGCTCTGATGGCATCACAAAATATATCTACGCCTGTATTTGACCTGGCCATTTATTTATATTGGACTCCTGCAACCGATGTTTGGAAGGGGGACTACTAGGACTCATTACAGTTGTAATCCCCTTAGATTCGTTGCCAGGGACTCTTTCCAGTATATTAGACTTAATGAGTTTCCTATGTCCGTACGTGACCTGGTCATTATATTGGACTCCTGCGGTCAATGTTTGGAAGGGGGACTTGCAACGCCTACTAGGACTCATTACAGTTGTAATCCCCTTAGATAGATTCGTTACAAGGGACTCTTTCCAGAAACTCATCTTTGTCAACGCCATTACCGTGATTTTCTTATAGTTAATGCTTACATTATTATATTTCTTAGTAACTAAATTATTCTAACTTTTTTGTATAGATGGATATTTCAAGCGGGATTTCTTCCTATTTCAGTAACACAGCGATTGAAGCCTGGGTTCTATGGGTTGTCTAGAATATTTAGCAAAAGTGTGTGCGCATTTGACATCAGAAGATCATGACGAAATTCTTGGCAGATACAAGAACCATTTACTTTCAATAATCTCATCTACATCATCGCTTAAAAGAGCAAAAGACAAAGCTCATAGGCTGAATGATACTGCGAAACGTTCATTTCAACGCATAGAAGTTACCTCATTTTTTAAAAGACTTGATACGCAGGTACGTCAATTAATCGCTGTTAAATTTGTGTGTATATATATATATATATATAGACCGACCTATTTGACAGGTTGACACGAATGCAACCGACAGTCTTGCACATGCCACCGAAAATCTCGTGAACGCAAAAGAAAATTTATATGAATCGAAACTGAAGGCACGTGCGTATGACGGATTTGTCGAGAATACGGATGTGAAAAATGATCGTTCATCCAAACGCCTTAGACAAGAAACAATAATTTCAGAAGAGGACAAAAAACAATATCTTTTATTATTTTTTTTGGTAAAATGTTTTTGTTTGATAGTAAGCGTTTGAGCTCTTCTCTTTCTAGTCTGACGCAAATACAGTCTCCAAAGCAGATGACGATAATTTTGATGGTATGTTAAATTAATGCAAATATGTAAGACATTGTGGTTCCTCTATAAATAATTATCGAGTATAATGCCAGGATATCAAAACTCGGAAAACTTGCAGTATTGGCAGAACAACAAATGAGAGAGCAATTTATTCGGGGGTTAAATCCTATGAATCAATACAATGTTCGCATGATGGCTAAATATCATGATACTAGAGATAATATTACAAAAGCATTAGTTGAAGCGGAAAAATTTTCACTACTACAAGGCAATTTTCCATTTCCACCATTTGGAGATTCAGTGCCTAACTCCTACGAATAAAGTAGCAATACCAGTTTATCCGAAGCTGATGTGAAAAAAATTGTAAAGTCAATGATCTTTGGAGAACTTATTTTTTCGAAATCTCAGAAAACTTATAAAAACAGTAGCAAGTTTAAAAAAAATAATTACTAAAGGAAATCAGACTTTATCAAGAAAGCCTGGTCCTGGAAAATGAAAAGCAGATGATCTTTTCATGAATTGTTTTTTAGATAGTGTAATACAAGATAATAATCTATCTGGAGAAGATTATGACTATAATTCAATTGAAGATTTGAGATTATAATTTAAGCAGTTGGAAATTAATATATGTTGTTTTAAAATTATCTTAACACAGATATTTAAATTATAATAGAACTGGACATAATTCTTGCAAGTATTCTAGAAAAAAGAAAAAGAGTAAATCTAAAAGTAAATTCAAAAAGAATAATAAGATAAATAAGATTATTTTGGATTTGAACTTTAAATCAGATTTAGATATTAATTTTTCTAATAATAAATTTGATTTTAAGAATGATTTAATTAAAATTAAAATCACAAAAAATTATTAATATTATCAAAGTAAAAAAAATAAATAAAATTTAAATTTAAGAAATTCAAGATCAAGAAGAAATTATATTTTTGATAAGTTAAATTTTTCTTTAAAAAATTATATTAAATATTATTACTATTTTAAGCTTATGTGTATATAAGTATTTTAAAATAATAATAATAATTGTGTTCATGATAATTATTTATTTTTTATAATTTCAAGAAGTTATATGATTAATTATCTTCTTAATAAGATAATTTATATGTATTTTACTTTTAATAAAATAATTTATGTAAATTTACTTCTAATCAAAATGCTCTCTTAATAGAGCAAGAAGAAAATAAGATATGTAATAAAATATATATATTTTATTAAAGAAAAATACTAATTAATTACTTTTAACTCAGTAGCTAATTC